TGTTAGAAAAACCTCTATTATAAATGAAAAGTCTCACCACAGTAAAATAATTAAAACAGCATAAAAATGACTAATATGATCTTAAAAACAAATTGCCTGACTTCTATAATGATGACACTTCTTTTAAAAGCTTCCAATAAGATATTTCTTCTCTTACTTGCAGAGCACAGTAGAGACAAGAAGAACTGAAGATCCATGCATATAAACCACATGGAAACAGACATATAAACAAAGACATTTATCCTTAAAAAAAGAGTGCTTTCAGTGAAAAATAGGTATTTGGTTGCAAAATTATGGCTATGATAACCTATTTTGAATTTCATATATGCCTCCCAACTTAAAAAGTATTTCAAAGATTCCAGGAGAAAGAAGTAGGATTCCACTCCCTAAAAACAGGTGTCATGGGATTTTATGAAATGTTTAAACTGCTTAATGTTTAAATGTTAAACCTGTTTAAACTGTATCCCATGTAATTTTTTTTTCTTTTATAAAAGAAAAAGAAAAAGAAAAAGGGAAAAAGAAAAAGGGAAAAAAAGAAGAAAAAAATAAAAAGTGCAGTAGGATTGACCCATCTTGGTTTTGTCTGACCTGGATAGGAATAGAGACAAACTCAGGTATAGATATCTTCATCATTTAACCTAAATAAATCTCAGACCCAGAACTGTATTTCTGTCTACAGTGGTTTCTAAATTCTTCTGCAGTCAGGGAATACATCCTCCCTATGTCATCTAGGTACTTTGATCCTACTTTCACAGCACTACTGGCAGTGCAAGAATGAGGTCCTTTCTGCACAAGCACAGTATTTCTGAGCCTGGGATGAAAGAAGACAGATAATACTTTCATGCCTTCCCCCCTTGACATTTTCCTAGATGGGACATGCAGCTAAAACAAAGCATTCCTAAGCATCTGGCTGGGTGTGAAAAGAGGGTGGGCAAGGAGAAGTACACTGTACTTCCTGCCTTTTTTGTACGAGCTTTGCCGCTCTGAAGCAGAGACTTCTACCCTTATCGGGTCAGGTAGTGAGTAACAGAGACAGAAAGTGACTTTGTAGCCATAAGGTATATCCCTCTCTGCTCCAGAGGCAATATGTGTGCCTCATGTGATTAAAAACACATAATCAGTCTTGAAGTTTCACAGTAAAGCTGTCATCACAGCCCAGGTGAGTGTCCTCTCTGCTAGAGAATTTTATCCTCTTCTTAGCTCTCTGGATTTAATTTTATTTACCATGCAGTAGCACAGTTTTAATCAGATGATGAAGACTTTTTTTTTTTTTTCATTCCAAGCCTGTACACTTTCCTACTTGATTTCTACATTCCCCAAAATGGGACTGGAGAGCAAAAGGAAAAATGCAGGAGATAGCTGAAACCAACCATAGGTTTAATATGCGAAAATGGAGACTCTCTACATAGCCTGGTACTGAGTGCTTAAAAATTAAGCACTTTTTTAATTTTTAAACTAATTTAGTATACATTACTGCAGTTGCTGGAGCTCTAGCATTCATTATTATCATTAGTCCAGAAAGAACAGAGTGTTTAGCTGCTGGGGTTGGTCTTTTGTGGCTGAGTTCTCTTGAAAGATAATCAGAGAGAGCTGTGATTTGGTAGCATAAACCTTAGCATCAGAGAGGATTTCCATTTATTTTTGGTAAAAATCATAGAGGAGGAGGACAGGGTACAAGGTGGTTCGTTTTGCAGAGTAATACTCTTAAAAAGCATATTAAGATTGTGATGACACATCACTGAATGACTCTGTTTTTATGGGTATCAGACAGGGAAGTGTTAGGATCTAAAACTCCTAACAATTTCCCTGAAGCTTAAACACTCATGAGGAGAGTAAATCCTCAGGCATTAATCAGTTACTTCCCAATGCATTGCACATGACAATGCAAGGTTGACACTTAAAAACCAACCAGTACATTTTCCTAAATCTGAGTATTTAGTCTGCTTGGCAGGAGAAGTTATAACATAAAAGAACAATAAGGAAAAAAATGAAAAAGATTCTCACATACAGTACGAACTTCAAGTATTCATTTTATCACTAACAGCACAGGTAAACTATTCTTAAAGTTTGAGGATTTTTTTCTTCATTACTTTGTTTTTCATTTGTGAGCAAGGAAGACCATATTAAACCAAAGTTATTCTCTTGCAGCCCAACTTGAGTCCATAAGGGTTTTGAGATACTCTCTATCTAATATTTTGTAATAAATATTGCTACCCAAAGCAACTTCATATCAAATTTTCTTAAAATGAGTGTCACAGGGAAGAGCTCTGCCTTATAATTTAAACTATTTCACAGTATTTTTCGCATAAATCAGGTACAATAAAATATTATCTGCATAAAAAGGCTTTATTATCAGATAATGGTAGAATAAAAAGTGTTGGAGGGTTTTTATAACTGAGTTGACCCCACATGCCGAATTTGTTATTTTCAAAATATAGCTTTATTTTCCAAGGGAAGTACCTGCAACACCATTTTCTAACAGGTAAGACTAACATTAATCTACATAAGGAACCTACCACAGTTTATATTAAAGGAATATTTTTTAGGCATAGAGGAGATGCTGCATAAGCATCACAAAGCCTATACTTCACATCTCCCAAGCTCAGAAATGTTTCATAACCTTGACAGTGCAATTAGAAATGCACAGATAATCAAGCCAGTCTTCATCTCACTAACCAGTATAGCACAAACTCCAGTGAGAGTCTGGAATTCGGTATCTTCCATATGTATAAGAAACCTTCAGTTGCTGTGCCTTGTGCCATCAAAATCTCTTTGTTCTCAGTACCAAACTCACAGGTTAAAGGTATTGTGGGGTTAAAGTTATTAAACAATAAGAGGAAATTATTAAGAAAAAATTGAAATATCCTTTGTTTGCTCTACATGTGGAGTTTCATGCAGATTCTTATTAGCTTTGATGTAAATAAAAGCTACCAAGAAGAGCATGGAAAAGCCATATGATCTTCCAGAGTGTTTTCAGGACTCCCTGAATTATTTTCAGTTTTAGCAGCCTGTAAACTGGGAGTCCCTAGAGCCTGGCTCAGGTCTTCTGGTCACACAATGAAAAAAGTGTGAGACTGTTGCTACCTTAGTGTGTCAGACTAAGATCTGTCATCTCATGTATGATAATTCAGGAGCACTCTGCTTGGTACAATTAGTTAGAGGCAAGGGGTCCTGCATCGTGTGGGTTCCAAATTAATTTCCACCTGACATCTTGACACAGAGGGACCCTGTTGTAGAGCACATGACAGTCCAGCTGGCCATAGAGGCAACCTCATTCCTCCTGGTCCCCTGCAGTCCCTGACAGACCTAGAGGAAACAGCAATTTCATGGAATCACAGAATATTCTTAGTTAGAAGGGACCCAGAAGGATTATCAAGTCAAACTCTTAAGTGAATGACCCCTAGGGGATTGAATCCCAAACCCTGGTGTTATTAGTACTACTCTCTAACCAACTTAACCAACTGAGCTAATCCCAGGGTCAGTTTCCAGATCTCTGTCTTCAGATTGAAGATAACCCACAGATGCTGTTTGCTTCCTGGTGGCTGCCACTGCAGAGTTTTGCTTAAGCCTTTCCTCCTGACCAGGTGTCTGGCCACACAACTTGTAGTGTATATGGGCAGGGTGGATGCCTCTTGCTCCTTACTGCGTATTTTGGATGCTGCACAGGCAATGCCAGAGGAAAGGGAAATGACAAAGATGGAAAGATCTGTCTTAAGCACAGAACTATTGTGTTCTAATGTAAGTAAAAACTGTTGCAGTAATGGATGTCAAAAACATAAATTAAAACAATTTTTAATAAACATATTTTAGTAGAACATATGTTTTTTGAAGCTATGCTTGCACTCTTTTTCCTTCTTTTTCCATTTTTTCCTATATCAAGTGAAATCTTAAGTGAATTTTTTTTTACATTGTCCACATATCTGAACACCCAGATCTCCCATCACTACAATGTGAAATAAATGATTGCTGGCAAGTGATGATTTTCACTATCTGTGAAGTATACATACCAGAATCTCTTAGTTCTCTGCAAGCTTTCAGTTGGATTTAAATGAGCTGGCACCTCTCTCAAAACCCCTGGCTTTTTTTGGGTTCTCGTTGCTTTTTTTTTTTAAATTTGATTTTTCTGACCAAAATTGGAGGCAAGTCAGGACATGTATATTTTTAATAGCTGTGACATCCAGTCCCTCAGGGAAAAAACATTATTTATTATTCCAAGTAATTTCCTGGCTGCTGAAAAACAGAATAAAAATAATTATAAAAATGTGACTTATAAGTTTCTCTGAATCCCAAGTGTGTATCATTCTTAGCCATCTATTCTCTCTCCTCTACAATCCCACTTGCACTACACTACACACAGAACCGACCTGCAAACTTCAAGTTAAGGGTATCACATACCTCCTCATATAGGGCGATCTTCTACATCCTAGTTTTCTAGCTTTTAAATTGTATCTTCTATAGAGAAGGTACTAGAAAGCTCCTTTACCAGTTTACCACTTTCTGCATTTACTGTTCTTTCAGTACTCTGAGCAGTTAGAGAAATCCTTTTCTGAGTGCAGCAGAGGAACTGAGAAATTAGCTAAATGACTTGGTCTGGACTGTACAGGGATTCTGTCAAAACTTAGGATATGGTACTGTTAAATAATACTGTAGAGGAATACACTACCCTCTGAAATTGAACTCCCAGTTTAAACTGACATATCCTACAAACAGGCACCATGTTACAAAAGCAGTGCTCATTAAATGATAGATTGAAAGTCAGTTTCCAAGTATCAGAGCAGCACATTCTCCTTGAGCCTTTCTTGTTACTAAGCTGTGAATCACTTATATCCCATCAATAACCTGTTGTTGAAAACAAAACTTTTCCTTGTTAGATCAGGCAGTGGCGTTACACAAATTTTATAGTCCTTCACATTTTATTTTGCAGACAAACACAACTACTTAAATTACCTTGATCTGACATGCCATCTTCAGAACAGAAGGTATAGTACTGAAAGGTATAATACATTTGCAATACAGGGAATGTTTATTTTAGGTATTAAATTAAATGGTATTAACATAAAGTATGAAAAATACTGCCCTGTTCTTTACAGAATCTTTCTTGAAGGAACAACTGTAAGAATGCATTTCAGATTTTACAGCTTATGTCAAAGTATTAAATGTTGTACTAAATTATATTTTGGAAAATATGAAGTTTGTTCCACAAAATATATATATATTATATTATTTGGGGCATCTCAGGTATGTTTAATTACTTATATTTCATAATGCAAAGTCAATTCTCGTTGGACCTTAAATAAGCAGGAGGTTAGCAGAATTAATGAGTGCTACAAGTCAAATTCTATTACAAAGACTACTTTTCATTTGCTGATTGATTAGGGCAAAATAGCCATTACACTCAACATGACAAGCAAACAAAATGATTTAGTGGCAAAGAAATAGGTGGAAAAGTATTTCGGGGGTGTGGATGTTTTAAGAAAGATTAGAAAGATAGCATCAAAAGCCAAGGGGGGTATGAAAGAAACATCATATTTACTCAAGAAGAAATCAGAGCAGTAGAAAAGTCAACATTTTTGATACTTTGATCAAGCAGCACAGAATAACAGTTGTGCCTAGAAGAACAAAGAATTCTTGCACCTGCAGAAAGAAAGAAAAAGAAATAATAGCAACACAGCATCTTCCTGATTAAAAAAAAGTCAGTGTGGGTGTCCTTGAGAATATTAATTGAGATCTCCGTAAAGGTCATGGTCCAGAAACTATGGAAACAATGTAGATCTAATGACACCAAACCCATTTTCTGAGTTAGCACTGTACACTGGACATACCACATATTTTTCCCTTTTTCTTCAGGAGTACTTGTTTGAAAAGCTTTTGTGTAAGCTGTGGCAGAGCTGTGAGAGTTGGAAAGAGCATCCCTCTCCACTGCGGTGCTCTGGCACTCTGGCCACAGCTGGGGCTGCCCTTTGGCTGCAGGGAGGGACATGCTGGCACCAGTGCCATGCCCCAAGGGGTTCTAGGGCCACATGGTGAGGACCAAAAATTTGGTATGTATGGATCCTGCTATGACATTGAAACGCAGCCACTCTCATGGAATAATGTTTGTATTCAAATGTGAGGCATTTTTCTTCCTAAGGTTATGTAGTACATTGAGTAATAAATATTGGTCATGGGGCTTTGCCTCCTATAGAGAGTTTGCTGAGGTCATAATTAAGATCATGAACACAAGGTGAAACTTAAAAAATAGGACTTCAAAGAAAAAGTACATTTCCTAGGACAGGCTCCTGGGTATTATGGAGAATGAAATTCTGAATGAAACTGCAACAGAAAAATCAAATAAAGCCTAGGTTTTGCAGACAGAGGAATACACCATTTATCACAATATATTTTTAAAGGAAAGGCTTCAATAGCTCACAAGAACAGGGTCACAACCTTAATGCTGGCTGACTGAAGCTACTGCATTACTATCATCACATATCCCTTTTTCCCCAAACAGGTCTTAATGCATTGTAATGTGGGAATTAGCCACTGCTTTCTGATAAGGAGCAAGTCACCTTCTATTATCAGGCATCAAATCATTTTAGTATTTTGCTGATATCATCTTTTCGTCTGCAATATGCCAAAGAAAATAGTTTCTCTGCCTGTAGAGTGGAAAGAAAATGTGCCTGAATAAGAAAGAGATAAAAATGGATACAAAAATTAGCCCTTGAGGACAGTAGATTTCCCTAGACCTTGCTAAGAACTCAGACACAGTTATATTTGGCTTTAAGTACTCAAGCCCAAGCTTATTTTCAGAAAATGATAGATCCTATTCAAAGAGCTTAAAAGATGGCAAAGATATTTAAAGGAAGACAACTGGAATATGATCATAAGGGTGTGCCTTATGATCCCTTATGTCCCTTATCAGGGACTGAAGGATTTATGGGCTACAAATTCAGCTTGTGCATATATATATATATATATGGTAGACACTCAAGCACACAGCTGGTGCACTTGGTATCCTTTTGAAACAAAAGTTGCTGTCATGCAATAGGACATGACAAGCAGAGATGCTGGGGAGCACCATTTTAATACGGACACAAGGTCTTCCACTACCATAGCTCTGTGCATTTTTATGGCACATTCAAAGTTAGACTGCTGGCAATCTGTCAGTTTTTTCATAAGTGTCAAGGCTGTTGATAGAGATCTGCTGCAAGTCTCCTCTTAATCTATCCATCAGTTAACAAATAACTGTCACTCTCCACTATTATCTCTCTGTTTTCAATTACTCAGTGCTATGTCCTACTAATGGATAACACTTAGTAAAAAGGACAGGAAAGTTTGCATTTAGCAGTTATGATTCAGTAGTTGTGATTGACAGAACCAATAGGTAAATTCTTTGCTGTGTAAGAAAAAAGCTCAAGCTGAAGCTTTAGAAAACTATCACCCATAGAAAATGCCTTCAAGTCTACCCATGTATAGATGAGGATGGCAACATGTCCTTCATGCTGTGTGATAAAGACAGAGGAGGTGTGTCTTGCCTTCCCACTCTTGTCAGGTTTTCTTGATTGAAATTCTCTTCTACTGCAATATGTATTTAAAGACTGATCCTTCTCCAACACAACAAAACCACAGATTCAAGTCAGACACCCTCACTCTGCAGGTCCAGTTTCTGAAAGGGAATTGCAGCTTGTTTATCCCAAATGCAGCTGCAGTGGACTCCCTCCTGACTCATAGTCACAATAACAAGACTGAAAGAGAGATGAGCAGCAGAGCTGGAGCCATGGTTTCCATAGAAGGTTGTCCCATGACAGCTGGTTAGGAACAGCATGCAGGGATCTGGTGTGGTTGTCTACTGCTTGGTGCACAATCCTGAGGATTTCGTAGAAACGGCTCTCAGTTTCTGGAGTCAGTGGGACTTTCTCTTCAGGGTCTCTGGACAGATCGAAGAGCAGTGGAGGATCATGTCGTGTAACAAATCCTCCATGGCAGAAACAAACGTGAGAATCATAGCAACCATTGGAATCCTCAGGACTGAAGTTTGGAGTGAAGAAGAACACTTTCCAGACAGATTCACCTGCAATTTACAGCCACAAAACAGCTGGTGATAAAGTGATAAAATGACATAATGGAAGTCCCTTGGTCTTAGGAAATTCCACCAACTTGGTAAGTCAGTCTTTTAGTAAAAAGACAGTACAGACACTCTGTAACAGAGACTGCACCACACTGAAAGAGTAAAACAAGATTGAGCAAAGCAAAAATAAGCAAAATATATTGATTTTCATGCTACACATATTAATGAAACAACTATGATAATTTCATTCCCGTGGAAGAATTCTGATTAACTAAATCCTAGAATACTTTAAATAATTTTGTGTTTTACAATAAACAGTACTAAGAAGATTTGCAGAAATATATACTAAATCTTCTTCAAAGCTTATTAAAATGTATTTTTGCCCCTTGACCATATTTACCCGCTGCTGGGCCCCATCTGCTTCTCATTTTGCTAACTGAAAAAATTTCATTGTTACCTTTTCTCTCTCTTCCTCTCTTTGTTGTATTAACTCATTGTCCTCTGCCCCATTTCTTCATTGCAAACACCTGGATACTCATTTTATTAAATAGGATTACATGAAAAGGCATAATGGGTGCTAAATTCCTGTCTTACGCTTCTACATGATTTTTCCAAATGTAAATTATAAATTATAAATAACAGTTACAGTAGGATAATTCTTAGGTGACATTCTGCTTTGCAAAATGAGAACCAAAGTTCATTTATAGACTGGTCATCCTCAGTTTAACTTTCTCTGCAGAGAAAACTGAGCTGTCCATCCTCATGTAACTTCAGTTTGTGTTTTCACTGTTTGAAAATCCTAGTTATTTCTTGGAATATGAATAATAAAATATCAGTTAGTTTTTTCAACAAGCAGTCTCAAATAGGCCTGTGAAGATCAAAAACACTTAACAAGAAAGCTGTGAACAAAAAAGTTGTTACTATTTTCCTCAAGTATGACAGAACAAATAGGAAAGGCAGAAACAGAATTGAACTTCCAGGGAAGCACACCATCCTCCTACAGACAGTGAAGTATATAGCTCTTCAGAAATGGAACAAAGAATAATTAATAAGAGTAAGAAACATCTGTATTTTATTCTTAATAAAAGCAGATTATTAAACAAATCAGATCTATAATGTCAGATTTCCTGTGAATTTGAGACTATAAAAACATTGGAAAAATGCAGTCATTGGTAATTTACATTTCTCAGCACCCTGTTGTGAATTTTCTTTTTATCACCTCATGTTTTTAAATACTGAGTGAAAAATCTTTTTCTGGTATTTTTTTGAATTTTGTTAAGGTCACAGAAAGCTTGTTAGCCTAGTAACAGACTTTCAAAGATTTATGTGTGCTACAGTAGTTAATATTTATTAATCAGTCCGTCAGTACAACAAAATTAAAGGCACTAGAAAATATGGGATGGCTAGAGCAAAGATAAACTGGTATATGCCATGCTGTACCTACATCACACGCAGCTTTTAAAGAAAAAAAAAAACCAACAAGTTTAAAGAGAAATGCTTCAGCAGACTAAGGAGTCACAGGCTGCAGTTCTAGACAATAGCATGGATTTAAAGGACAGTAGGTGACCTTAAGATTCTTTACAGCTTCTTCTGTTCCACAGAATTTTTCACATTAGAAGTGATTTTACCTTTAGGAACCAATTCAATGACAGAGCCTGGGGACTACCAGTTCACTTCATCTCCACTTAAATCGGGGTCGGATAGGTGATGGCTATTATACACATTAGACTGGGAGAACCCTCTAAATGCTTCTTGGAAGTCAGAAAAGGGGAGGAACTTTTAAAGGCTGAGTGACTTGCTGGCACAGACAATAGGATGTGGCAGGTTTTAAAAGGCTCTGGCTGTGACAGCCTCCATGGCGCAGTCTTACTGGGAAAAAAATGAAAGGAAATTTAAAGGAAGGCAAAGCAAGAGAAGGCCAGGTGACATAAGATGGCATTCCTTCTTCTACCTCTAGTAACATTTTGAAAGGTTGGTCTGGCACTTGAATCTCTTGTTTTCTTAGAAATGAAATAAACAAAATCAAATACTGCCACTTAAATTTCTTTGAACTTATGCACAGAACATTTCCAAGAAATATACCTATTGTTTACTGAGATTTAGAATTTACATTCTGAGAAGGCATGAAATTCCGTACTAAGCATTGTTTCAGGCTCCTTAGACATGTTTAATTGGCAAGATAGATGGTGAAAAACATAAAAAGCCAAAGGGCTTGATCAGTCAGTGCACTGTACACCATTATAGACCATGCAACACTTGCCATACCTGAGAATTTGATTCACAACACTATAGCAACTTGACAGAAGATCAACAGAAGAAAATTATATGTCTACTAAAATGCCAGTTAAAAGACATTCAAATTTAGCCATACACAGGAAAACTTTGTGGTCAAGCTGTCTTACCACACATTGGTCTTTCACGGTACATTTGTGTTGAATTAAATTGAAAAGAAAATTTTCAGCCACTTTTTTTGGTGCTGGGCATTGTAGCACCAGGTCTGCTCAAGGGCTTACAGATAGCAGTACAAATTCGGGTAGTCCAAATTAATGGAAGTTGGTACAAGCAGCCCATATAGGTAAGGAATAGGGAAAAGAAAAAAACAAGGAAGTTGCACTTTTTTTTCTTCCCCACAGAAAATAAAGACTTGTTTAGGTTTTGATATATGAAGAGCATACAGCATGTTGAAAAATCACACGTGGGTTTTGGGACAAGACATGTGTGACATCATCTCATGTCTGAGTGACATTGCTAGTGTTTTGAAGAGCTGATGGTACTTTATCATCAGATAAGCATAAGAATGTTATGATTACACACTGCAAAACACTGAGCTCTGGGAGTGCAAAGCCTGTTGCTCTGCAATGTTTATCTGTTGCACTGCAGCAGTGTTTCTGGAACTAGAGAAGCAGCAGCAGACTCTAAACACCTATTTCCTAAGCATTATAAAAATTAAAGCCTATCTGTCACTGGCTGTGGCTGTGGAGCGGCCAGTGCAATATACCAGGAGACATTAAGAACTGTCAAACTTCTAATCGGTAAAGCTGATGAACTATATAGGGCACAATATTAAAAAGAGAGACCTCTCTTCCAGTCTCTCAGCTGATATAAAATCTCATTTTGTAAGAAGGTTAACTACAAGGATCAAATTAATCTCCTAGTAATTAACGGTACCTGTGTTCTCCAAGGCATCTGGATACTAAACCCTTGTTATATAAAAATATAAAGGAATGTCTCTTCCACAGTGAAGTTAGTAGTAAAATTGTCAGGGCTTCCCCAAAGCCAAGTATATCAAGCCCCTTCTGAAACCACAGGCACGGTCTAGGCCTGCAGCACCCTTAAAGGTCCTGTCCCAGTGCTTCACAAATTATTTCAGTCCAATTTTCCTGCAATTCTCAGTTCTCTGAGCTGTCCAATAAGTTTTCTCTCAGAATACCTCTTTCCTTTACATGTTAAAAAAAACAAAAACTAAAGAAGTTGTACTTCTAAATAGTTTCAAATTAAGATAGGTTGCCATTAGTCCAAGCAAATCTGCTATGAACATAGTTATTCAGTGTTCAATCTCCCTAGAAGACTCCTTTCATTATCCTTAACCCAGTTATTTATCCTCTCAAACAGACAATAGTAGCTCTAACAGACCGGCAGAGGCCATGAGATTAAATAAAAGTCTCTCAGTAAGATATATTAATATATTCAAGATGAAGTGACACACTGGATAGGGATGCCATTTCTGTTATAAATGCACCCTTCTTAATCATTTATGGCTAACTGGTGTTTTCTGATAAGCAGTTCTTGAATGAATAGAAGCTATTGTTGCATTATTGCCTGGGACTTAATTTTCACTGAATTTAATCTATCACAGTAGCTTTACAGGTTTGCAGCTACTGTAATTTTCTTTGTTCATATTACTGTGTTGCCTCTTTCTGTAGAAGAACAAGTTAAACAGGGATGTTCTCCACTGTACATTGGGGAGCTAGTCCCTGCTTGAATTCAAATGCCTCTGATGGGAGCCATTTGGGTGTAGCAGACTCAAAAATCATAAATTGAGACAGACTTTTCTGTGTCTCAAGTGTGCTCTGTAGCCATTGTAAACTCCCACACTCTAACTCATGCTTCTCAACATTTCTACAAGGTAGCAGATGAAAACTGCAGCTCACTTGAAAATTACTTTCTTCAGATAAATCTTGTTATTGGATTGAATCCGTTCCTCCTGCTTCCTCTAAGTTCATTCATAATTTTCAGGTTCTCTGCTAATCTTATTCATAACAGATATCACATATATTCAGCTCTTTGATAATTTAACAATGTAGAAAAGGCTTCAGTTCTGAAATTCTTGTAGAACTATATATAGGTCTATATAACAAAGACAATACTATTTGGTTACTATAATAAAACTATACATATTATTTTATGACATTAAATATGCCATTTGAATTTAAAAAATTGTAACTTTTTTGTTCTTACAATGAAAATGTGGGTTTTTTGATTTTTTTTTTAGATATTTGTTTTGAGAGTCTGGGTATCTTATATTGGATGTATATCTGGGTGGTATATTATTAATCAGTCAAAAGACAGCACATCTTGTCCCAGTGTCAGTGGAAAATAACTGACTGATATTCAAAGACACAATGTTGATTTACAACAATCAGTTCTTGCTAGAAGAGGTTTGCATAAAAAACTATGCAGAATTTACAGTATTTGAGTGAAAACCACGAAAAAAACAGCAGTAGTGATTTTAAAATATTTAGAATAAAACCTAGTGTTAAGTATCCACTAAACCAGAAAGGATTGCACACTCCTGAATATCTAATAGCCACACTGAACAACCGCTGCAGGAAAAATACAAGACACACTGAATCCATACCCAGATTGCTGATGACAGAAATCTCATGACTGAGTTCTTTATCTGGAGTAAATGCTGTGGTATAAGAAACTTCTACTGAATTCTGTCCAAAAGTCAAAATTATCTGTTGAATTGTAGTAGATGAAAAAGAATTCTTTTCCTGAATTCTTCATCATTACCTTGAAAAAGAATTGATTCTTCATTTGCATTGTTTTCTTGTTGAAGAAAGTCTTAAAAGGGAAGAATCTGTGGGTA